TACCCTGGCGAGCCGCGTGCCAAACGTTGCCGACCCCTGCTGTATTCCAACTGTGCAGTATTTTATTAATTCTAAATAAAAGTGGGAAAAGAAATTTATAGATAGTTCTTAATATTTCTTACCTTATGATATAGTCTGTTATTTTCCCATTCTAGCAACTTCTGAATTGATCTTCTAGTCTAGGAAAGAAAATCAACATTATATTAGAAATGGCTCAGCTATCAACCTCATTCCCAAAGGTCTTAAAGTTATATTTGCAGCTCTCAAGCATCACATGTAAAGTGGTAATGTATGTTTTAGGAAAGGATAACTAAGCAAAGGAAGAATTTCACCTTGGAGAAGTCTTGCCTTCCCAAATCCACTTGTCTCAAGCATAGATTATAGGGGTGGGAGAGTAGGGGCGTCTTATCAGAATTATAGATTATGATTTCTCTCTAGACTCAGAAGCTCCATCATTCCCACTACCTTTCTCAGCTGTACAATTTTGGAGTCATCTTGGACTCAGCATTTTTGGGTGCTCAAGTAGCTAAGTCAGCAAAACTCCATCTTCCATCTGTTACTGGTCAAAAGATTACAACCATCTGACCTGGTCACAGTGATCCACATAACTGTGACCTCTGGGCTCCAGTATTGCAACTCATATCTAGGAATGAAACTACATATGCTGAAAAAATCTCCAGCTGCTTAGTGACATAGGACTCTGAAGGTATCATCCTGGTGCTCTGCTCTGGCTTCCGAGTACACCGAGTCCAATTCAAGGTCTATGGCATGATATTCAAAATCCTCTAAGGGACTGGCCACATGTACCTAACAGATCACCGGTCTTGCAACCAGTTCAGACATGCCATGATGGTTATGTTCCACCAGGGCAAGGGAACTCTTAACACATTGTGAGAATCACAAGTACAGGAAACAGAACATACATAGGAGCTGGATCTACAATATGGAACTAAAAAAAATAAGTGACCTTCAAAACAGCCACTTGGAGGGCTAAATGGAAAATTCATTTCTTAAACTAATCAAACTATTTCACCAATAAGGTGAAAAGGAAAAAGAGACAGAGATCCATAGATTTCAAGGCCACAAAGGTTGTGATCTAGTCTGACCCCTGCATAACACAAACCATAGAATTTCCCCCAGTAATTCCTGTGTCAAACCCAATAACTGTGGTTGGGCTAGAGCATTTCTTTTAGAAAGACATCCAATCTTGATTTTAAGAAGGAGAGAACCCACCATTTCCCTTGATAAGTTTTTCTAATTGTTTAACTACTCTCATTTTTAAAATTTGCATTTATTTCCAATTTGAGTTGGTCTAGCTTCAAACTCCAGCCACTGGATCTTGTTATGCCTTTATCAGATTAGAGAACCTTTCACTATCAGACATCTTATGTGGGTATTTGTAGACAGTGATCAGGTCACTTAACCCTGTCTTCAATAAACTAAATAGATTAATCTATAATCCTTCACTGTAAAGCGTGTTTTCCTGTCCTCAAATAATTTTTATAGCTCTTATCTGAATTCTCTCCACTTTTTCAACATTTTTTTAAGTGTTTACACCTGAATGGAAACAATATTCCAGTTATGGTCTGATCAGTGCAATATTATCTCCCTACTCCTATTCTATATACACCTGTTTATACCTTTGAGGATTACATTAACCCTTTTGGCTCCAGCATTGGACTGGGAGCTAGTGTTCATTTGGATGTTTGTCCTAAATCCTTTTCAGAGTTACTGCTTTCCAGGAGGAAGCCTTCACCCCTCGCACCTCATCCAGATCACTCTGTAAAAGTGATACAAGTGTTATTTCTATTTTAAATGCTTGGGAAGCATTCAGAAACATTGATGAACACTGTATAGGATTAGACAAGGGCTATGTCTACACTACAGAGCATATGCTGGCATTAGGGTGACCAGATGTCCTGATTCTATAGGGACAGTCCCGTTATTTGGGGCTTTTTCTTATATAGGCTCCTATTACCCCCACCCCACATCCCGATTTTTCACACTTGATATCTGGTCATCCTAGCTGGCATAGCCCCCCAGCATACTATGTATGGTAACAGAAGGAGCTATTCTGCTGGTGTAGGAATGCCACGTTAGCTATGCTGACAGAAACACTCTTATGTAAGCATAGCTGGGCCTACACTAGGTTTTTTTTGTTAGCATAGCTATGTTGCAAGGGTGTGTAGTTTTTTTGATGCCCCTGACTGACATAGCTATGACAGTATATGTTTTCAGTGTAGACCAAGCCTAGGTTAGAGTGCTTGGAGATCCTTTCTGGGGACCAGTGAAGGAGGGAAACTGAGGCAGGTGCAGCTGTCGTGCTGTGTCCTGCCATGGAAGGGCACTTAAGGAGGAGCCAACTGTATGACAGCAGCCCAGTGGGTTAAAGCACTATGCTTTTCAACCTTGAGATCAACCCCTATGAGGTCAAACATTAAATGCAATGTCTCCTTGTACACCCCAGCAAAGGTTTGTCCTCTATTACAAAAACCACATATTTTGGTTCTCTCTATTTAAGAAAAGCCCCAAAATCATAATATAAGGGATGCTGCAGGGCAGAACTAGTGTGATCTGGAAGAGGGGCAAAGGAAAATGCCTGCCTGCATTCTGCTTCACTCCAAGCAGTTCTATTATTGTTACTTTCATAAGCAAATTGAAGGAGCTGCCAGACCACTTCTCTCTGCATGTGGTGCAACCTGTAGACCTTTTTTGGGTGGAGTTTAGTGCACTTTCCTTTTCACAGTTAGCTCACTAGAGATAGAAACAAAACTAGACAATGGGAGAAATGGCCCAAGCTTTCGACCGTCTAGAACATTAGCTTCAATTCACAATGATAAATCCTGATATGAAACTAGAAAAGTAACAAATGGATGAAGAAGGAGTATACTGTTTCTTCCTTTAATAAACTGTACAACGTACACAGGTTTAAAAAGAGATTTCAGTCTATTTAGGATGTTCTTTGGCTCAATAACTGCTACTCCGGCACAACTCATTGTTATTAACATAATTCAACATTGTTTACTTTATATAGATAAATATAATTTTCTGTTACTATTAAAGATTAACAGCTAGCAGACATATCTCACCAGTTAAAGGGAGACTTATGATGGCAACTGGGGATACAGAAAGAAGTTTCAGAATAAAGAAAGGCATCATTACTTAAAGGCTATTAAACATTAGCAGCAGTTGTCAATTTTTGGTCACAATGCAACTTTGAAATGTGCACTTACTCTTTTATTAAGACAGATAACAGGCCACAGGCTGCAACCCAGGGTGCAGCAGCAGCAAAGACAACCACAAAGCAGCCATTTTACATTGACAGGGAGATTCTTCTTTAAACACGCATTCACACGGCTGATACTAGTCTTAAATTCTTCTGGAGCAACCTACAACAGAAATGGCAAACTTTAACTGGAAGCCTTGCAGATGTGCTTTCTTGTTCACTGGTTCCATGGATTACAACATAAGTGACAGAGGTACAGTTATTAGGTGTGAAACAAAGCTACACCTCTACCCCGATATAACGCGACCCGCTATAACACAAATTCGGATATAACGTGGTAAAGCAGCGCTCCGGGAGTGGGGCGGGGCTGCATGCTCCATCGGATCAAAGCAAGTTCAATATAACGCGGTTTCACCTATAACGCGGTAAGATTTTTTGGCTCCCGAGGACAGCTTTATATCGGGGTAGAGGTGTATATAAACCCTCCAAAAACATTGCTAGTACAGCTAGTGTGAAAGTTCACCTTCCTAAATCAAGTCCATTTATCCTGTTTGCTTGAATTTTTTTTTTAAATGTAAAAATGATAATTGCAGTAAGTTAGAAGAGTTTCTTCCCACGTTCTCTTGCAACTGTTAATAAATCAATTGTGTTGATAACACAACCATCCCCTGTAAAACTATATTAGGAACAGAGCCAAGCAACACACAAATTGGTGATGTTGACAAAAAAATTGGATGAAAAAGACATTTTGGTTTTCATGGAAACAAAAAGGTAACTTTGTATGTAAAAAGGTGACATTTCACACACAAAACAAGTGTTCATCACTGTGTCTAATTTCTCCCTATCACAAGCTTGTAACCTGCATGTGAAGTTGCCCTCTCTTTGGAGCGAAAAGCTGTGCTTGCCAATAGAAATGAAAATATTTCTTCCAGGAACAAATTACTGATTGGTACCATCCCACATCTCTAATTATGGTATCCTGCTGAGGAGGCGTAACCAAGAAGGGAACAGGTGGGTTATAACAACTATGCTTTATATAGGAGTATAAAACATGCCAAGGATCAGCAGCGTGCGGAACAGTGATGTGAAGGTTTGAAGCATTACATGTATTCCTTCCTATTTCAACTAATTTTGTTGCTTGCTATGGTGTATAAGTCATACAATGAAGAGTGGCTGGTTCTTGAAGAGTGGCTGATTCTGAGATAAGTAAAAGTTACAAACATTGGCCAAGATTTTCCAGAGTGACTGGTGGTTCTGGATGCCTCAATCAGTGGGTGCTTAACTTGAAAGACTTTAAAGGGGCCTGATTTTCAGAGAGTGGACGCTCAGTGTTTTCTGAAAGTTAGGGCTCTTTAAAGTCTAAGCGACACACTCACTAACCAAGGCACCCCAAAATCACTAATCATTCTGGAAAGCCTTGGCCAAGGTCTTCATGACTGAAAGTTTACTAAGACAGTGATATACAGTGAAGTAAATTTACCCCCTTTCACTTACAGAAACCCCCACCCCAATTTATAAAATATCCACTGCAAGTGTCACAAAGCAAGACTCATGATTATTTTAGTTACAAAGCAGTGGAAGCACAAGAGTGTCTCCACCTTTTAAAGTCTCAATTAATAGCCAAAACAAGATTTGAATAAAGCAAATTTGTAAGGACAGACAACCCTAGATTCTGTAACCCTACGGTTTGGTGGGACATTATCTGAGACTGCAAAGTATCTTTTTCAAGAGAAAACAATTTAAAGCAGCAAGACAAATTATAATGATTTTGATATTCCACCTGATAAATTTTAGTACGTTTTACTTTCTTTTCTCAAAACAACAAACTTATTTTTAAAGGACTATTGTTTGGGGGGAGAGGAGTGAACAAGAGGATGTTTACCAAAGTAACTTATGTACTGCCTCTGTAGATTCACGTTGCAAGACTGTATGCATGAGCTTCCCCAATGGCTGCATGCCCCTATTCCAGCATTTTAAACCCAAGGGTACAAAGGCCCACACGCATCCAACTGTTTCTCAGTTCCTTTTTTAACTACAGCTGAAACTTCAAAAGCAAACCTAGCCAGTTCTGAGGATTTCTTAAGAGGTTTTGTCCTGTCCAAGAAATAATCAACAGCCCTCTCAACAACCAAGGTGTACAGCAAAGATCAACACAGAAGATCTCATGACTTCAAAATACACTGACAAAAATATGATATCAACAAAAGTGATCGTAAAAAGTCAACAATTTGGTATATAATATTAAGATTATTAATCAGCTGTGTGAAAATTAGTACAAGGAAGTTATGCCATTAAAGGCTGCCTTTCTTAAGATCTCTTGGCAAATGGCATAGCCTTCAGGAAGGAACCTTTATTAAAAGACCACAAGCAGGAGCAGAGCTAATGGAACTGAGAATATCTGGTGAGCCCAACCAGAATCACCTGGCCCTTTTAGCTAAATATTCCTGATAACTTTTAGTAAAAAGATACATATGTGCATTCTCTTCTCCAATGTGACACAACATTTGAAACCAAGCTGTGATCATGAATATCCTGGAATAATATGTTGGCTACACTGTACTCTGATTCCAGGTAAAGCAATTACTTCCAGGTGACATTTGGCAGAGAAGGAATTTGCTAAACTCTCTGAAAACTCCATGCATTGATTTGACCATATGCTACTTAACTGCTAGGATGTTCTTCATTACTGCCAAAATGCAAGTTGAAGTCAGTACGCGTATGGATGCACTAGCATCACAAATGCACTGCTTGTTGATACAACACAGAAGACTGATTACTCTGCCTGTTCAAATAAACTGTGTATTGACAGGTGTTATCTATGTGAATATCCATCGTCTTCGCTCTGATCAGAGGAATAAAAGCATGAAGCCCTCAGCCCTAACCAGTTACTGTTTAATGTAAGTTCCTGAGTTCTTATCATTGACAACACCTGTTAGAAGTCCACAACTCTTCTTACAGGAGGCAAACTAGTACCTTCCAAGAACTCAGAAAAGTTCTTAAGTGTCAGAACCTGAGTGGCACTAAGACCAAATTTCCCCATTTTCACTCAACTTCAGCATTGGGCAGAGAACAAGTGATCTTTAGAAAATTAATCATGCCCTAATAAGATGACTCTTAGAAGCCAAATGTCTAATATGGAAACAACTTCAGGCTCTGCTGACAAAGGTTGGCGACCACAATTGCTGGACACAAGCCACTTTGTAGCTTGCAATTTCACTGACTCAGATAATCTCCCCCATTGAATCTGAGGTGCTTCCTATGCTTGTTTTATGGGAGCATGAGTCCTGGCAATCTTTTCAATTTAAAGTAGGACTTATACGGCTCACAGATGTATTGAGACTTGCCACTAGCACCAATTTTGTTAAGTCTCAATTTTCACATGAGATATTAATATATCCTGTAGTGGTTTACTATGAGAAGGACTGGGGATCAGGATTTGGCCTGAACTCAAACTGAAAAGCATATATCCATTCAAGAACTCCAGGACCCAGCAACCTAGAAAGATACCTGATATTCTGCAATGCCTGTGAACATCTTAAAAATTAAAATGGGTTCTAGACCTTCCAGTGAAACAGCAGTTTTGCCAGAAGTGCAGAAGAAGCTGATGGACCAAGATGGATGACTGTTTCTGCAGTGACTAAAAACATCTCCTGAACCCTTCGGTGATGTGATGAAGAACTATGCTGGACCCAGAAACCTCTTTAAAAAATAAAAAAGCAGCTTCTGTTGCTTCCCAGCCTCAGTGTTCTAACTATTAATCTGATTGCAGAATTATAAAGCCAGCCATGATGTGGACTACAGTGGTCATAACCAGGGACGTAGTTGCAGGGTCTGACATGTCATTGTAGACCGGGGGTGGCCAACCTGAGCCTGAGAAGGAGCCAGAATTTTTTTGCCAAAAAGCCACAGTAATGCGTCAGCACCCCCCTCATCAGCTCCCTCCCCCCCCCCCGCTCCCAGGGCCTCCCACCCACTGTCAGCCCCGCCGATCAGTGCTTCCCCCTCCCTCCCCGCACCTCCCGATCAGCTGTTTCGTGGCATGCAGGAGGCTCTGGGGGGAAGGGGGGAGGAGCGAGGGCACGGCAGGTTCGGGAGGGGGCGGGAAGAGGTGGAGTGGGGGCAGGGCCTGTGGCAGAGCAGTGAGCACCCCCAGCACATTGGAAAGTTGGCACCTGTAGCTCCAGCCCCGGAGTCGATGCCTATACAAGGAGCCGCATATTAACTCCTGAAGAGCCGCATGTGGCTCCGGAGCCACAGGTTGGCCACCCCTGTTGTAGACCATCAACGAGTAAATTTTGCAAATTTCTGAACTACTCCAGTGAAGGAGATCTTTCATAACTAGACCCAATCTTCAGCAAAGTCTCTCCCAGACCAAGAAGACCAATGCACATTACTGGATATCTGTTTTCCCCTATGCTTTCTGCTATTTTTAGAAGCTGAAACGTGGATTTGGGGAATGCCTCAAACTCTTAAACTACCTGGATGTTCTACTCATAGGCAAATCATCTTTTTGCATCCAGGTTCAGACCCTGAAGAGCCTTCCAAAATCCAATGACTAGATCCTTCTCCAACAGATACGAGGACTTCATGGGCAAAGACCCAGAAGAAACTTCTAGCATCATGCAACAATTCTGAGAGATCTCTTGCAGGAGTGCTCTTAAGTGCCTGAGTCCCCATGGCTTCCTCCTTGTCAGGGTATGGAGTCCTGAACTACAATCTCTTTTTTGACCTGCAAAGGAAATCTAAACAGAATCCACACAAAATCTATGAACTTAGTACTAGATAAATACTTTATGAACTAAAATACTCAATGAAGTCCAGTCCCAATGCAAGCAGAGGATAGGGTTCTGTCCACTTAGGCCAATGGAAAGAGGTAATGATGTATAATTGCGGGTGTGGAGGAGATTACACCCTTGATTTTAGAATGCTGTGACAGAGGCATACAAATACTCCCACAAAAGCTGCTTTGAAATGAGTCCGACTGCTGAATGGCAGGACCTGTGATCTCATAATGGGATCTGTGGGGGCAAAGTCATGGAGAATATAACATGAACATATTATTTTAACAGGAACTTTGCTGAACACACACGTACTCCACATGTGCTCTTAAATCTGATACTGAATAAGGTAAAAAGTCTTTTGAAATATATCTGGTTATGACTT